TCAGCTCCGACGGGCCTCCTCGGACGTGGCGAGCGATCGCGGCGCGATTTAGGCGCGCGAACGCGCCCCGCGCGCGCGTACACCCGCGGAATATGCATGAGAGAGCATGAGTCACCCGCGGCGCGTTCGACGAGCTTCCCTGGACGACGGACGCAGCGCGCGTCGAAAATTTCGCGGAATGCATGTGCCGGGCGCGCGCGAAAGTAGGTCGGCCCGTATCATCTTCGTCTGGGTTTAATGCGCGGAGGCTAAAAATATCTCTTACACAATTAATTCAATATGGCATGCCGCTCTAATGTTCATTGAGATTGGGAATTATGTAACGATGTGGTGTAGTACGACGGACACTTGCGATTAGCGAGCAACGCCAGTTGTTAGGAAAGCGCACGTTCCAACGTTTCAACGTTTAGCCTTCTCTAATCGACATAGACAGATATTTTACCTGTTGGATGACGCTGGAACGGGGAATTGCGAATCTGTCGCCTGTGGCGTCGTAGAGATGCGTAGCTACGGCTTTTTTGGCGGGAAAGCCGCGACGAAAGAAAGGGAAGCCGGACGCGCAGACGCGGCTTGGTCGCGTGGCTCCGACCTGTTTTCTTATTCTAAGCTCGCCGCCTCTTCCTCCCCTTCTCTCTTCCTTCCGCTTCTATAGCGATCCCTCGCCCAAGTACTCCGGCTACCCGTCTTACGCTCTCCTTTGACCAAGCTGCCACCCTGTCGGGCAGTCGTTTCTTACGCCAGAAGCACGCGTCGTAAAGGAGGATGCAGCGATAATCTAAATGATCTATTAGAGATTTATTGTTTTTCCTTCTAGATGATTTATAAAATATATACGTAATTTTTTCAAATTCTATTCACGAATATATTAAGTGCTTTTAATTATTGAAGTTTGAAATTTTATCGTAAGAATCTATTTTTTGTAAACTGGTTGTTCAATTGTAGATCAGAGGCTAGTTTAATTAGGTGTCTTTTTTTTATTATTTACGTAAATGAATAACCTTGATAATCTTCATTGATAACTTTTTTATTTGATATTATATAATTTATATTATATAATTATTTCAAAAAACTTTTATATCGAAATCGTATGTGGAATATTTTTGCAATAAGCTAAAAATTAATTAATAATTACTTCTTGGAAAATTTAATATTCACTAATGAAGCTCTATTTTTTTTTTTTTTTTTAAGCAATTTCACTATATTTGGGAAAGCATTTTACTGGGTTCTACGCAACAACCAAATATATCTACAAAAAAGAATGTTGGCGTTATCGCGGAAAGATAAGTAGACACTTGTACACGATCGTGAGAAATGATTGGTCATTGGTCGCCGGTTTATCCGGGGTGTTGTTAGAGAAGGAACTTCACGATTGGGAATGAGATCACGCCTATGAGTCATGAGTCTAAAGACGGGCAACTTAAAGTACCTGTAATATTTCTGAGTCATCGAAGGGCCCCCAATTTCCAAGGAGTATAAGAAACTCGGATTGCATTCCTTGGATTCCTCCGGCATGACACACCCGCTCCTACCTTCGCATGAATTCTTGTGCACAATGGATATTCTATTTCATCGACCACGTGCAAAATGCAAAGTGCATGTCTTTATATATGCGAGACTGATAATAACGGGCAAATCGCAGATTTCCGAGTCGAGTACAGTTTCTGTTTCTCTCCGAAAAAAAAAAAAAAAACAAGCTTTTAAAACACGTTTGTTCCTCAATCGACTGGATCTCTAACGTCTTTTTTGATATTATGTAGGAATTCGTACGGGTACGCAAGTCAAATCATTCGTACCTTGAAACAATAATATCAGGGGGAAGGAAATCCATGGTTTCTCAACCTCGAATCGAGATCCCGTACCTATTTGCACTGATAATCCCCCACAGGGTGACTCCTTGGGCTGGAACACGACGAAACGAAACCCTCGAAAATTCAACAGAGCGGCACGGCGCAACCAACTCTTTTTCCACCGACACCTGTTGGCCCTTGCCAAGGGCCCATGACGACTGGAACGTCTTTTCCCACGATTAAATCAGACCCGCGAACACGCGATATCGTGTCGCGCGGGGCCTTACGAAGGTCGCACACCACCTGCTGGGACAAGTCGCACTTGATGCAAAATACACCAAGTACACTGGGCACACACTAATTCACACTTCTCCCTTGCTTATCTAACACCTTCAAGAACTGACTAACATCTTCAGAATTTTACGACTAACATTTAACGACATCAGGTACCGTACACACATACAAATCTATATTTAATTTCTTTTAATAACATACTTATACTATTTTTATTGCCATAGCATTTATCATCGTCGTCACTCGTTTGCTTTATCTTTACTTCGAGAAAATGAATAATAACAAATAAATAATAAAACAAATGTGTAAAATAAAGAAATTTTTAATTTAATTAATTTCATCTTTTACATCTATCTATCTGGTTTATCATCTTATCTGGTCTAAATCGCATGATTAAAAATGCTAAAAGGTGCTCTCTCTCTCTCTCTCTCTCTCTCTATATATATATATATATATATATATATATATATATATATTTTTTTCTAATCAAATTTTAAACAGAAGAAAAGTGCGGATCGTAGTTATTTTCTACATCATCAAATAGAAAACTTTAGAATTTAAAACTTTAGAAAACATTTTAGATTTTTACGAAGAAATACTGACAAAGAGCTGCTTCGATCGCGACTTAAAGCGGACTTTGTGATTCGCTCGTGTGGTTTTCCTATAAAATCCGAAACGTCTAACGTCTAGAAAGATCCAAGCGAGATCCTTCGCTTAAGTAAAGAATACGCCAGGAGGATCGCGTTCGGATCAATGAACAAAAGAAAATTTTCGAGGCGGAATCACATTCGAAACATACGGACAGGTAAGCGTCAAGCTTTCTTCGGTGCATCTAGGATCTCTACTTCGTGGCACGTTGAGGCGTGGAAACAGATGTTGACAAGCGAAATCGTGAACTGGAGAAAAGGAGACAGAGGAATAGAAAGAAAGAGAAAGGAAGAAAGGACGTTGGTCGAGGAAGAGAACGTTGGTTTCGCGCACCATATGGCAGACCGTTGCCAAAAAGAGAGAAGCGCGGAGAAAGGATCATGTCTTCGACATATGGCCGTTGTGTAGATTTTTTTCAACCTTTTTCATGTCGATTTATCGGTCTGAGCCATACTCCGTTCCTTGCGATTTCCGAACGCTAATGTTCTTCGATACTTTAAGTGCCATGTCACGGAGACGGATGACCAATTAATTCGTACTTCGTGATGATGAAAAAAAATCACCTTTGATCATAATAATAGCTACTGTTAGAACGTGATCGTGATAATGTGACATTACAATGTGACATTGACTATAACATAAAACGTAAAAAAATTTAATTTAAGGACATATTATATCTATTTTTATAACTTTTATATATTAATCATGAAAAAATTATGAAAAGTATACTGATTATTTTAAATCACATTTTAAAATAATATAAAAAAGTTTAGCGGCAGTTTAGAATCTGGATAAAAAATTATTAAATGAATAAATAGAAAGATGCTCTAATAGAAAGGTAATGTAAAGAAATAATGACAAAAAACTCAATTTTTTTATGTAAGTATTTTAAATATTCAAAATTGTTTACGTGTTATATGTGTTACATTGAACAAAGTTTCATTAAAGAAATTAGTTGTTCTATAAATAAAAATTTAATTTTATCTAAACAACAACAATTAATTTCTGCATCGCAATGAAACTTTATATATAAATCATTTTAAATACTTATATAAACAAATTGAGATTTTAATTTTTAATTATAGTACTATCTAAACACACTTCTACTTCGTATTTAAATAATTTTTTATCCAGATTCTAAACCACTGCAAAATTTTTTATATCACTTCTAAATGCAATCTAAAATAATCTATAATTTTTCCATAAATTTTTTATCATAAGTAAGAATATGTGTAATATGTTCTTAAAATTAATGCTAAAATTAATACTGTATGATAGGAACGATTTTTTTGTTTTATATTTTTGTGTAGTTTTAGATTTTCCACAGATGTTCAAATTCAGAGGTGCAAATGCGAATTTCATATCCTTCGCATTTTTTATCGGAACTTTGAGGAAAAGAGCAGATTTCCAAACCGGTGCCGTTAACATTAAGTCGCACCTGTCAAATAGTCAGTCACAAAAAGAGAGAAAAGCAGAAAGAAACGAGGGTAGGGCACTCAGGTGGCTACCTGATCGAAGTAGGGGTCCCTAAGATATATCCCTAAGTCTTTGTTGTGGAAATTCTCTCCCGCACGGTGTTTCTATACAGGTTACGCGACGTCGTTATGAGATGACCCCCGTCGATTCACGAAATCTCCTGGTTTGTACAGAACCTTAAGAATATACTTATTACAAGAAGCATCACGTGTTTCTTCACGAAGATATGTATTTATTCAGAATGCGTTGAGTGAATGGAACGAATGGCTCATTGATCTTTTATCGCGCGTGTCGCGCATAATTTTATTTTTTTCTTATATAATGCAATATTACGGCTATTTTTTTACAACGCTTAAACAATGTCGCTTAATAATAATCCTTTTGTTCAATATCTTTTTTGCAGATTATTGGCGAGCTCGGAAAGTATGCGACGTGAACAAGAAGCCGTTGATGACCACGGACGCATCGAAGCAAAACATCGAATCGTCGACGAAAACGTCGACGAAGATGAACATCACATCAACGACAACGACGATAACGAAGACCACGCAGAAGACGACGTCGAACTGAAATGATCGCGCATATTTTTAAACCCCGTGCACACGTGCGGTTTTCTCTTATTTTGCTGCGGTGGCAAAAAATCGCCATGTTAACTTAAGTGCGCCGGACAAAGAGACCTACTCGGAAACAGTTAGCTTAAAGCTATTAAAAATTAATATATTTTTAACTGGTTATATTGAAATATTATTTAAATGATATTTGAATAATATTTATTTTGAAAATTATATAGAAAGTAGGTACTGCGCAAAATAACGAGCACCGCGTCATAGAACGTGAGTTCTAAAAAAATAATATAAATTCTTAGTGCGAGGTTATAAATTCTTCAGCGCGAGGTTATATCATCGATCGATTTGTGTAAAATGTACTTCGTCTGCGCTATCAAAATTTGTATATTTATTCCTGGGTCTTTCGAGCCTTATTATATTATCATCGATTATTCATGAAAGTAATCCTCTTTAGAGTTAGTCGCGACGGATGTATTAATTAATTTTTGTAAATAATTTGTCAAGTGATTTATGGAGGTTTGGATGGACTCATCGCCGTAAGAATCAAGATTGCCAATTGCAATGCTTAAATGATTGATAAATCATTGTCAGCTTAAATTATTATTGATTTGCCAGCATACAACGAGCTTTATTAGAGATTTCTTTCGGCAGTGACAGTCCATCGAAAGCCTGAAACGGTTTCCACGATGAAACCAACGATGCAGCGCCTCCAAAGACTAATTGATTACAAACAATTCGCAACTCCGTACTCTCGTCGCATGAGAGAACAGGAGGATGTCCTATGTACATGTCATCTTAGAAATTTAATAAATCCCTCTAGTCATCTAGTCATTTAAGCAAGTAATAAACTATTATGCTTTCTACTGCATTCCTACTTATTGTGTTTTCATTTCTTTATCCTTATTATTCGATTAGGAATACTTATATATTAGAAATACTTTATAATTATAGTATTATCGCGAGATGCTATAAGAGATAATTTTATAAAATTAATTTTTTAAGGTTTAAGATAATACATCTTTTATCTGATTAATTAATAATTTTTAG